GGTCGAATTATGTGGACTTTTCATTTTTGATTATTCAGCCAGTTTATCGCCTGATCAATCGTTTTAATGCAAAACCAAGGGTAGTGTCGAGTTATGGATTTACATTTGATTATTGCGGTTTTGATGTTTTTAACCTCTCGTATCAGAATTTATGAAATTGACAGTAATATTTAAAAATCTCGTCCTTCTGCTGTTTGACTTTCACCTAGTTGAGAATTTTGTTGAAAATCAGTTGACGTGGGTTGGATTCAGAAACTTCAATATCTTGGGATAATGGGGAAATGTAATTTGCTGGTTTTGAAGAATTAACTATTTTTCATTGAAGATCAGTTTTTTCTCAGCATATTTTTTTCACTGTTGACCTACCCTTATTTTTATTTTTTGATTTCCAATGCAACGTTTAGTGAACTGTCGTTAATTTCTGGCTTTTCTATCTACTCCTCCCCAAATTTTTAACTACCTAGTGACTCTAATGCAGAAGGATTTTCTTCGCTCTTTTATCGCTACACGACACCACTTTTATAGCTAACTGTACTGTTACAGGCAGCGTTTACGTTCTTTTCATTCTTTTTATTTGAACTGGTACCTACTGACTCCTCGTAGAGTCGTTTTGAATAGATGGTTTGAAATTTCGTAAATGTCAAAAAAACTTTTTAATGGCTGTTTGGAATCATGCATATTGTTTCGTTAGTCGAGACCACAATATTTTTCAAGGCGTAAGGTTTTTGTTGCTATTTCGTCGTATTTGTGAAGAGCTTACTGAGAATTCCTTTACTGGGTAAACCGTCTCATTTGGCTCCTTAATTTCTTTCATTGATGGCGTAGAAAAATGTCGGTGTTGAGAAAAGCTGTGGTTCGTTTTTTTTAAAGGAGAAATCTGTGGAGTTTTTTTTTGCATCACGTTAACTTACTGACCTCTGACAAGCGACTCATTTTCTAAATATTTTGAAGACGACTAGACAAACTCGGTTTGTTTTTGTAGACATCTTTTTAAGAGCATTTTTCAGTTCAAGAATCGTAATATATTCGTAAAGTCATAATTAACCTCTCTGTCGAAGCTGCAGCCGTTCTTCAGCGTTTTTATGACTTGAGATGGGTTCGACAGATTTTAACAGAGGCATCTTATTCAGCGTCTTATTAAACATTGTTTTGCTGACTTGTGTATTTTTATGCTGATTCATTTTTAGCAAGGGGATCGTTGCGTTGTCCATTTGCAAAACCAACCGTCTAAAAATGGAACTGTTTCATACGTTGGAACAACTCAGTTTAAGCCCGGCTGGTGGGTAGGCGTTACATACGACGAAGCAGTTGGGAAAAATGACGGTAGT